CTTCCCACATGCTCTCTCCCCAGGTCCTTCCCAGGTGCCTTGGGAATGTCCTGCTGGGGTAGGACTGCCCATTGGAATAAGGGATTTTATTTCCTCCTGACCTTTCAATCATCTGACTCCTCTGGGCACATCCTCACCTCCCCCGTCTTCTGAATTTATCCACCTTTAACCTACTTGTTTACTACTCACAGCTTCCCCTGATCCTCTGAGCCAGAGGAAGTTTCTCCTACTTAAGGGAAAGCACCCTCTCCCTCCTCTGGCCTTCTAAAGCCCTTCGTCCATCTCTCTCTCTGCACCTCTCCTTTCTCATCGGGGCTTACAGTCTCCTGTGTGTGTCTCCTCAGGGCTCTCAGAGGTACAAGGGGGCACAGGTTTCTTCGGTCAATTGAGTATAAAAAATATACCACTATGACACCCATCTTCTTGTGTTTTTGTGTAAGGAGAAGGGGGTTCTTCCTTTGGTTGTTGTAGACTCCCCATGGAGGCTACAGCCTCTCCTTTTCTCAGCTCCATTTCAGAAAGGAGAGGCCACAGTGTGTTGCTGATGTTCGTGGTCTCTTTAGGGGAGTAACACAAGGTTCTATTCACTCAATCCCGACCCCATGTCACCATGAGCACACACACCCATTCAGGGGAATGTCAGTCTTTGCAGGTTTCTTCGGACACATTTTGGTGTACTGAGCTGAAATATGGCGGTGGTGGTAGGGTGTGGATTAAACACTGAGAGACATGGTCATGGAATCCCAGTCCCAGATTTGGACTAAGACAAGGGAGGCAATGGGTCTGGGGCAGGTGTTGGTGACTTAAACAAATAACATCTCAGTGCCAAGCAAGGCAGCCCCGAGACCGCAGGCCTTTCCTAAAGTCTCTGTCCTGGGTGAGCAGCTCCTCACTCAACACCTACATCTCAAAAAGGTAGAGGTTCACCTCAGAAGACCTGTCCCACCAACCTAGTAGGTGAGAGGCTAAACTAGATGCATAGAATGAAGTACAAAAGTAAATATGTGTTATCCTTCCTCAAACACACAGAGGAGGTTCATACCTGCAATGTACAATTTAAAATATAAAAGTTCTTGATCACTTCACCTTCAGAAAAACATTTTTATGCCATTTGTTCAAATGCATAAATCACTAAGCTCTATATGGCTCTCAAAAAAGTTGCTACTTAATATTAAGGATGGCAACGCCTTTCAAGTGTCAAAAAACATGAATACATCTTTATCTGAGTCTCCTAGAAACCTGAGGACACATCAAACCTCACTATTTCTTACCAAAGACTTTCATTCTTTCCAGAGACACCAGCCCACTCCAGATAGAGCTTGTAAGTAATTTATCTTTGTAGTGTGCTTGTCACATCAGGTGATGAATAAATATTAGTGAAGCCAAGCACAACACTGAAGGACACGAGAATTCTCAAGTTTGTGAACTTCATTAAGAGACCCAAGCAAAGACCCTTTGTGAAGAGAAAAAACTGCACCAGCAACAGGGGTATGCTGAACTCTGGGGCTCTCCTAGTTCTTCCTGGGAGGGCTGCATTGCCAATGAGTCTTTTTAGGCTTTACTGTTATTTGACTCACAAGAGAATAATCACCTTCAGATGTCCTGATGGAGGTTAAAGAAAACACAGCCTTTTTAGTGTGGGCACCCGCACCTGTCACCTCTGGCCCAAGAGGTGACAGAGCAGGGCCATAGGGACTGTGGCACTAGGCAGAGACCCAATAAGTCTCGGCTAAAAAGGCAGTGCCCCATTTCCTGGTCAAAGTCCTTCACCCCCCCGGGAAGGAAGGATACTAGCCATGGCCAACTGTTTACACAGGTAAGTACACAACCCTTCTACTTTCTGTCCTCCCAAAATTAGGTTCGTTCTTGGCATCTGAGGCTCTGGCTGAATGATGGCAAAAATACGTCACAAGTAATCCAGACAGCAAATAACGCATTCATGAGTAATTAAGAAGGGACGCATCATTCTGGTGGTCTCATTTGTTTCTGTTAAACTTGAGCCAGCTTTGTGTTTCTGGTACCTTTTGCCTTTGTGTTATTCCTAAATAAACTAGGGTTGGTTTCTATCATGTTAAACCATCATGTTCGCAAAAAGTACATGTTCCCTACTTTCCTTGACCTTACCAAGTCCTCTCTGCCCTCAGGTCTCTGTACTTGCTGTTCCCATCCCGGAACACTCTTCCTCGGATGTGTGTCTGTATATCACTGTCCATTCATTCAAGTCTCACAGGAAGAACATCTGCTTCTCCAGGGTGCCTGGGGCTGCTTACAGGACACTGCCCCTCACCCTCCAGGCCACGACCCCATTCTGCCACTAAGGATATTCTGCTGTTCTTTGCAGCAATTCTCGCTTCCTGATATCTCTGATTCATTTTTAGGGTTATTTTTGGCCTTTCTTCTGGGAAAGAAAAGTACATGAAAGTAAGGACTTGATTGAATTTTTGTCTACAATGAAATTTGTCTGGCTCAGCTCATCGGAGAAGCCCATGAGTTATGTGGTCAACAATAGACGTGTACATAGATGAAAACTGCCATTTATTCAGAATTATCTTATACTACACCATGTTATAAAAACTTGGCATAGAGTATCCATCATCACTCCAAATTGTAGCATGGTATCACTTATACCCATTTCACAAAAGAGAGAAAAAAATCCTAGAGAAACCAGCATTGTAACTTGCCCAAAGACATGGCATGACTACATATGGCCTCCAGGATCTAAGCCCACATCTGCATGAGCCTAAATCCCATCACTGGCCACTGCCCAGCACTGCCTGCCTGGGAAGTCAGTTACTCCATTAATTCACAGCATCTTTTCAATCAGTGTGAGGGAAACCTTAAAAAGCTACCAAATAGGCTGGGCGCAGTGGCTCATGCCCATAATCCCAGCACTTTGGGAGGCTGAGGTAGGTGGACCACGAGATTAGGAGTTCAAGACCAGCCTGGCCAGGATGGTGAAACCCCGCCTCTACTAAAAATACAAAACTAGTCGGGCACAGTGGCGGGTGCCTGTAATCCCAGCTACTTGGGAGACTGAGGCAGGAGAATCTCTTGAACCCGGGAGGTGGAGGTTGCAGTGAGCCGAGACTGCGCCACTGCACCCTAGCCTGGGTGACAGAGCAAGACTACATCTCAAAAAAAAAAAAATAGCTACCAAAGAGATAAACAAACATTAATTCACAGATTTCTACTACAGTGAATTTGTAAACTTGGGTTAATTTCTTATTTTTAAAACATTGAAACTTTCAGTGGCCAACAAATACATGAAAGGTAGCTCAACATCACCGATCATTAGAGAAATGCAAATAAAAACCACAATGAGGCCGGGCACGGTGGCTCAAGCCTGTAATCCCAGCACTTTGGGAGGCCGAGACGGGCGGATCACGAGGTCAGGCGATCGAGACCATCCTGGCTAACCCGGTGAAACCCCGTCTCTACTAAAAAAAATATCCAAAAAAAACTAGCCGGGCGAGGTGGCGGGCGCCTGTAGTCCCAGCCACTCGGGAGGCTGAGGCAGGAGAATGGCGTGAACCCGGGAGGCGGAGCTTGCAGTGAGCCGAGATTACGCCACCGCACTCCAGCCTGGGCGACAGAGCAAGACTCCGTCTCAAAAAAAAAAAAAAAAAAAAACCACAATGAAACATCATCTCACACCAGAAAGAATGGCGATTATTAAAAAGTTAAGAAACAACAGATGCTGGCGAGGGTGCAGAGAAGTAGGAACGCTTTTACACTGTTGGTAGGAATGTAAATTAGTTCAACCATTGGGAAAGACAGTGTGGTGAGTTCTCAGAGATATGGAACTGGAGATACCATTTGCCCCAGCAAACTCATTACTAGGTATATACCCAAAGGAATATAAATCATTCTGTTACAAAGATACATGCATGTGTATGTTCATTGCAACACTATTTACAATAGCAAAGACATGGAACCAATTCAAATTCCCAGCAATTATGACTGGATAAAGAAAATGTGGTATGTATACATCATGGAATCTATGCAGTTATAAAATGGCAGGAGATTATGTCTTTTGCAGGAACATGGATGAAGCTGGAAGACATTATCCTGAGTAACTAATACAGACACAGAAAAGCAAGTATCGCATGTTCTCACTTGTAAGTGGAAGCTTAACAATGAGAATACATTTCCCTCCATACACATGGAGGGAAACAGCACTTGCTGGGGCCTGCTGTGGGAGGGCAGGAAGGGAGAGTATTAAGGAAAAGAGCTGATGCATGCTTGGGTTAATACCTAGGTGATGGGTTGATAGGTGCAGCAGACGACCATGACACACGTTTATCTATGTAACAAACCGGCACATAGTGCACATGTGCTCTGGAACTTAAAAAAAAAACAATAAAAAACCCAGAGATTAGATATTAATATATTTCCCTTTGAACTTGAAACACCTTTAACAAAAAAGGAATTACTATGGGTGAGGAAGGACTACTTCCCAGGGGCAGATACAGGTATTGCACCTACTCCAACTATAATAGTTCCAGGACAGACAGACATACAGGATACAAAGCTGTCTGCACCTTGAAAAATAGGAGGAGAAGAAAAAGAGGTGAAGAGAAGCAGAAGAAGACAGAGTTAAGGTGGCAGGAAGCACAAGGCAGGAAGGAATAGAGAAGACACAATTATAATTACAACAGTGATGAGAGCACAAGGTCACACTGCTGGGCTTTGCTTTCTATTTTGGAAAACACTGTCATGTCCAATTTACCTGGGGCCATATGTCATTATTGCAGTCTCCAAATTGTCAGGGGTCCAAAAATCACTGCCTTCTTGGTTTCTACAAACAGAGCACAGGCTGGCTGGGTTGGTATACACTATTGTGCCCTGGTCCCACGCTAGGTTGACACATTGCTTCATTCCTGGAAGGGACTAGGGTGTCTCCCTGGGGAATAAATAGAGCAGGTCTGGGTGCTAACCTCCACAGCAGCTTCCTTGATCCCTGCCACGCACGACTGAACACCGACAGCAGCTGCCTCGCCATGAAGCTGTTGATGGTCCTCATGCTGGCGGCCCTCCCACTGCTCTGCTATGCAGGTGAGTTCCGGGCAGAGAGGGCTGCCTCAAAGTTAGGGGTTGTCACCTGGGCCCCTGTGAAAGAACTGCCAGACCCCAGCTCCCAGCATAGGTCAGCTTCAGTACAAAGGGTCTGGGTGTGACACGCCTTAGGAATTCCTTTAGTTCCTGACAGTCAGGCAGGCAGTGCCTTCGTGAGCTGTCCCCTGCATTGGAGCCGCACGCTGTGTGTCACGGCACTCAGCGTCCCACCGTGACCACAGTGACCATAGAAACCAGGATGAGTCTCAAGATTGAATATTGGAATTAGCTATTTCAGTGTTGCAAGAGAGAGACATGAATGAAGGCCCCATGACATATGCGCCCTCAATCAATGGAACAATCATGGGTGTCCTTGAATGTGGAAAGGAACAGCAAACCTCTTAAAACAGAAGTCACAGGCTGCGGAGTGTAATCCAGCATCTTGCATTCTGTGGGCCTCACTCTGTGTTCTCAGAGTTTATCCGAGTCTTTCTGGGATGCCCTTTCCATCCCAGTTCCTTCAGGCTCAAGGCAGACTGGGGAGGAGAATTCACACCCCCTGAAGTCTTCTTCCAGCACTGAAGGTCCAGTGGGAGAAAAAAGCCCAGACGGCTGGAATCAGTACTGATAGGTCCCCCCAGTGGCTTGCCTTGTGCAATTCCCAAAGCTTACCCTGCACACTGTGCCTCATTTGTTGCCAAAGTAGGTGCAAATGGGTTAATAGCTGACAAGCACACAGTCAACTAAATAGAAAACAGCAAGAAGCTCACAAGAATCTGCGTCCTGAGCACTTTCCACTCACCCAAAGTGGTGGCCACCTCAGATTCTATCATGAGCAAGAAGTTCTGTTTCAGGCTCCTTTTTATTGCAGTAGAGTTAACGGAACTAATGGGCAATAGCCTAGACCCATTCATCTGAAATCATTGAACCCCTACTTGATCCTGGGAATGATAAAAGGGAGGCATTGTGTGATTCTGAACCAAAGAAGCTCAAGCAGTGTTTGGTGTGTGTCCCCAGTCAGAGCACCTCATTTCCCAAAGGCCGTCTTCACCAAAGATGCACAGGGTTGGGCTGACCTGAGCTACAGAGGTTGGGAGAATTTGCACAGACCGAGTTTATGCTCCTAGAATTGAGAACTTGGCACCCTGCACCATAATCTTTCTGAAACTTGGGCTCTCCTGGGGGGTAAGAAGATGACCAGCCTCACAGCTCATCCCCAAAATGAGTTCATCCCTCTGGGGATGGCCCATGTTCTGGTGCCTTTTTCTCAGGTTCTGGCTGCCAACTGCTGGAGGATGTGGTTGCAAAGACCCTGGATCCCGAAGTGTCTGTACCAGAATTCCAGCAATATGTGCAAAAGTTCACAGACAGTGAAGCTGCTGAAAATGCTGTAGGCGAACTCAAACAGTGTTTCCTCAACCAGTCAAACGAAACTCTGCAGAATTTTGATTTAATGATGGTAATTAATTTCATTTTTTTTCTCATGTGCCCTTTAAAATCACTGTCCAGAAACAGGCTCTAAATGTGCCATGAGGAGTGTTAAGCACCTGGTGAACAAGCTTTGTTTATACATCATTTAATTTAATTTTTTCCTTAGGGTGCTTTGACACTTCACTTTGAGAGTCTTCAGGGAGTGATAAATGGGAAAGGAAAAAAAAAAAAAAAGCAAGCTCCGGAAAAGGCAGAACAAATCATCAGCTCCCCAGTCCATTCTCTCTCTCTCTCACACACATAGAAACACACACACACACAGACACACACACATAGAAACACACAGACACACACACATATAGAATCAGAGACACAGATGCACACGTACATGGAATCACACAGACGCATGCACATAGACACACAAAAAGAAACATAGACAGACTAACAGGGACATACACACACACGCACACACACACACACACACATTTTCCTTCTTTCTTTAATCTTTGTGAGACAGGGTCTCACTCTGGGTCACCTAGGCTGGAGTACAGTGGTTCCATCTCGGCTCACTGCAACCTCTGCCTCCCAACTTCAAGGGATTTTCCCACCTCAGTCTCCTGAGTGGATGGAATTACAGGTGCCCGCCACCACACCGGGCAAGTTTTGTATTTTTTGGTAGAGATGGAGTTTCTCCATGTTGGCGAGGCTGGACATTTTCTATGAAGAGGAAGGATCTGATTCTCAAAGAACCACTCATTACTAGGAGCAACCAACAATGCAATTTTTCCCTTTCACAATAATAAATAATAAAAATGTTCTCAAAATTATTTTACACAGTCCAGAAAATACCTTTTGTGCAAATCCTACAGATTCTAATATAAAGAATTTAAAACTCATGCCCAGATTTGCTAGCATACATGACTGGGAATCACGCACCATTTAATTAAGCGCCTCAGGAAACGGGAAGTGCAGGTCATGGATGCGAAACAGCATGAGTGCCAGAATTCTTTAAAATAAAACTCAGTGGTTATAACAACAAGGATGTCTGCCTATTTAAAAAAAACATGCTACCCTCAGATTCTATTTTTAACTTTTATGTAATAGTTCAAAATTCCATTTGAAACATTTTATGGTAGAGAATTTAAAGATCTACCAAACTTTTGTAGAATCATTTCTTCTTTAAAAATCTGGAGTAGATTAATCATTACCTAGCTCCAATATTTTTAAATCTGTATCAAGGTAGTGGTGGAGAGCCTCAGACTGTTACAATATTTCTCACTTGTAAGGCCACACAGCAACTCCAAACTATCACATTCCTATATTTGAGCTGAGGTTTTAATAATTCTGTGTCGAAAGAGCGGTCTCAGAATCAGTTTAAACTGGCAGGTCTTCATCAAATAGTGCACGTCACATATTTATTGGATAAACTATTTCAAGGAATAGGATTTTTGGAGAAGAATATTAAGGGGATCCTGGCAAGTAAAAGATCCTAAAACCCTGACCCTGTAGGAGTAAGTGTCTCCTGGGCTTTGTGCAGTGCCTCATGCCTGTAATCCCAGCACTCTGGGAGGCTGACGCCTGTAATCCCAGCACTCTGGGCTGACGCCTGTAATCCCAGCACTCTGGGAGGCTGAGGTGGGTGGATCACCTGAGGTCAGGAGTTGAAGACCAGCCTGGCCAATATGGTGAAAACTCATCTCTACTAAAAATACAAAAATTATCTGGGCATGGTGGCAGGCACCTGTAATCTCAGCTACTTGGGAGGCTGAGGCAGGAAAATGGCTTGAACCTGGAGGCAGAGGTTGCAGTGAGCTGATCTCGTGCCACTGCACTCCAGCCTTGGAAGCAGAGGAAAACTTTGTCTTAAACAAACAAACAAACAAAAAACCAACAACAAAAAACAAACAAACAAAATATAAAGGTGTCTCCTGGATGACAGAGTAAATGAAAAGAGAATTCTTGTTTTGCTTCCAGTGCAAATTTTCCTGAGTGTTAGATGTTTGTGGACAAATGCAGGAAAATGACATGAAGAAAAGTTTCTGTATTTTAATATTTCACTTTCTAACAGTGATTTACAAATCTAAGTTGTCTGTTTTCTTTTGTTTCCCAGGAGACGGTATACAACAGCTATTGGTGTGAGCCCTTCTAACTTTATACAAGACCTTTGGCTCAGAAACGACAAGACAGATGATGGTCGGAAAACTACTGCCTATCGCTGGAAACTGCAATTTTTCTTATTTTCTTTCTCCTTTGGACCTTTTTTTGTGGAAACTGCAAGGAAACTGTTGAAACCTCAAATTCATTCTCATTTCAGTAAAACTAACTGCAAATCATAAAGTTCCTTTTATTGTGTCAGGAAAGGGAGGCTTTCCAGGTCTCATAATCAGGCCACCTGAGGGAGGCAAACACAGACAGGCCATAGACAGACCTTGCAAGTGTCGGGCGAGGGACTGAGGCTTCTGTGAAGCACTTGCTTTCTCAAAGCCTCTTGCCCAAGCATTGGGCCTCTCTCTGAAGACTGTTTCCTACCTCCATCCCACCACCTCCCCACGTGACTCTCTCTGGGGTCCTCAGGCTCTAGGTTCCGAGGTGGGGTCCTGCTCAGAGGCCCTGCTTTCATTCCAGTCCTCTTCCGTGTACTGAGCCCTGCTGGCCATGCCAGGCTCCTCTGCACTGTCTCTGGGCCTCCCTAAGGTGTGCAGGGTCCAGACAAGAGCCAGGGAGGGAGACCTACAAAGCAGGGTGGATGGTGTCTGGCTTCTCAATTTTGATTTTTGTTCATTATGGATGTTGGATCTGAGGATTCAATTTCTTTAAATGTTGCATTAAAATATCATTTATAATATTATGTTATTTTAGACATATAAAAATATAATTACCGAGTTTCATAGCACCCTCCTTAAATTATTGAGTTTCCCTGAGTCCTGTCTCTGCAGCAGGAATGGGGTCCATCCTCCCCTGTCCCACAGTGAGCTGCAAAGGCCTTGAGGGTTGAGGGGAGTGAGTGTGCCTGCAGGGACCCAGCACAGCAGGGGATGTTTAAATGGAACCTGGGGCCCCCTTCATGTCCTGTCCCCAGCATTCCTGTCACCAGGGGTAGGCTATTGCCACCTCTTCTGCTCTTGCTTCAGCCTGTCCCTCTTCTTTCTGGGGCCGTCCACTCACCCAAGAAGACCCTGTCTATTTCTCAGGACAACTCAGCTCCACTAGGACTGACTCTTTTCTCAGGCAAGGCAGGTGCAGGGATCCAGGCTCACAATATCTGTAAGGGGCCATAAAAATGAAATAATTTTAAAGAATCATTTCCTAAATTGAATATAACTGCGATGAATATATATCAATGAATCTAGCCAGGAATATAGACTCTACTTTACCAATGCAGTTGTAAAATACAAAGTTTAATTTTTTTGTGTGTGTGGATAAATGGCCTATGAAGGCAATAAAATACCAGTGACCTGCAAAAGTCACAATGAAGCCTTACGCCCAATAACTTCCAAAAACCACAGGCCACCCTCTTTGGTTTAAGGTCCTGAAAGAGAGGAGAAGGGAAAAGAGATTCAGAGCTAAGAACTAGAAGATGGGCACATGGTAGCAGAAAATATAAATCTGTATAGAGAAGGGCCTGGCCCGTTTGGTGAGGGGGCCATATACATTCTTGAGAGGCAACAGGCTGTAAGGGAAGGGGCCACTCCAGGATACTCATGCCACTTGGGGAACATCCTACATCCAAAGCCAGGTTTGCACTGGTGGATGAGCCTATGTACGAGCATGCCAGACCCATGCAGCGGAAAGAGGACCCTGTGCATGGCAGGTGACAGACACAAGAGCTTCTGAAATTGCCGACAAAATGAACATTCTTGACAAGAGGTTTTTATTTCCCCTTTAGTTTTTGTGTTTTTAAAGCATAACGAGTTCATTTAATCAGTTTTACCTGACATAGAAAGCTTCAGAAATGAAGTCGCAAAGAACCAAGGGAAAACTGTTTATTTTAAAGCTTAGATTTAATGCACAGTAACAGCCGTGTAGAAATGTGATTGGACAAAAAGGGAGTAGTCTCATGTGAATAGACGGAGTGGGAAAATCCAGCAAGGCCTGCTGTTCAGATTCTTCTTGGCTTCTCTGTGTGCCATTCCCAGAGAAGGGCCTTAAGCAAACTTGCGGGTGGTGACAAACTATACCTCAGATCTTTCAGGCATAAGGTAACCCACACCCAGAACTTCTTGAAGAGCCCTGAGAAACCCATCACTGTTGCCCCCAAAATCCTGGTCTACTATAGGCAAGGGACTCCAAGTGGCTAGACTGGGAACCAGATGAGACTCCAGATTGCTTAGAGGAGCCATCCTGGGTGACTGACAACCACTGCTCTTTCGGGAACTGATCCACCGAAGCAGAAAAGCCCTCACACTGCACATAGCCTTGCTGGGCTGCTGGGTTCTGCAGGCTCTGCTGCCACAATTACTGCAAGAGGCCATGTCAGAAGGAGAGAAACATGACTCCTTCCTCGCCCCAGCTTCCAATCTCCCAGCAATACCTTCCACTGGAGGTTCGCAAGGAGCCAGCTGCCATGACGTTGTGGGATGGGAAATACAGAGGCCTCCATTTTAGCAATAGGGGGATACATAGGAAAAAGTAAATCTGGACCTAAGGAAAAATAAGCCTTATCTGGCTTCCCATGATGATAATCTAGAGTCTTAGTCTTTTCAGCCAGTTGGAGGCCATTGATCTGACCTATTGAAGAGTTAATAGCTGGAAAATTTGTTGCCTACAATGTAATAAATGAGGCTTAATTAGCTCAATAAATACCTCTAAGAATAACCACAGGAGGCTTAACAGGCAATAACCAGGTATTAAATCATCCTGGAATAGGAAAAATTTCTACAAGTTTATGCCTTAGTACCAAAGGGCAGCTGACCTACAGCCAGAGACTGTTCAGGGAAGATGCTGCGTATGGCTAGGTGTGCATAAAGCATCAGAACTAGTGGGATTAATGGGGGGCAATGACAAATAGTAGAAAAGGTTTCATTATCCACGCCATTGCAGTGCACTTTATAGGAAGAAAGGTCTTTCTACTGAGTAAAGTACCAAGTTCAGTAAACTGTCTCTAGAAGCCCACAGTGAGGATCAGCCCATCAGTTTCCTGCTCTATCTCATGTATCCTGAGATTATTCATTCTGCTTCTCCGCGAAGCTCTTCCAGAATTCATACAACACTGCATTCAACCTATTGTGGATGTCGCAGGGTAACTGCTTTCCTCTCCAGAAAAAGACGGAGAAAATCTATTTATTTTATCTCCTAAATGGCAACTGTTTTGGCAAAGGACTCAAATACCCACCTTTTCATTTGGTCCTTCAATGTGGTTGTGGTTTGCTGTTCTCATGTGTGTAGTTTACATGTGGGGCCAACTTACAAAGACATACAGGTACCTCATAGGAGGGTGAGCACACTTTATACACTGTGGGGATGGACAGGAGGAGGTGTGAGGACCTGGCCCGGGTCACTGCTAGGGCAATTCTCTCTCTGGGATTTCTTATGTGGAAGCAATGAGGTAAAAATTGAGAACGAGAGTGTGATGGTTAATACTGTCAACTTGATTGGATTGAAGGATACAAAGTATTGGTCATGGGCGTGTCTGTGAGGGTGTTGCCAAAAGAGATTGACGTTTGAGTCAGTGAACTGGGAAGGGCAGACCCACTCTTAATTGGGACACCGTCGAATCAGCTGCCAGCGAATATAAAGCAGGCAGAAAAACTTGAAGAGACTGGCCTAGCCTCCCAGCCTACATCTTTCTCTCATGCTGGACGCTTCCTGCTCTCAAACACCAGACTGCAGAGTCTTCAGTTTTGAGACTCGGACTGGCTCTCCTTGCTCCTCAAGCTTGCAGACAGCAGACAGCCTACTGCAGGACCCTGCAATAAGTTAATACTTAATAAACTCATATAAATATATTATAATTGTATTGTATATAATATGTAATAACAAACTCATATATATATCCTATTAGGTTTTACTCTCTAGAGAACCCTAATACAGATTTTGGTACCAGGAGTGTTTCTAGAGGAACAGAATATTAAGGATGAAGTTCTTTCGTTGTTTTAGGGGTTTCTGGAGTTAGCTGCTTAATATGATTTGACCCCAAAATACTAAGGACTGTACTTCTAATAGTATGGAGAACACTGATAGTCTTTGGTGTAAACTGTTTAGAGAGTTATACAAAATAAATGCATTTGACGCTCCTGATTCACTGCTCGTAAGAGGCAAGGAGTTTAGTGACTCTATACATAATACCTTTGACCATATGTGGAGAACAAGGAACATAAAGCTGGTTGGTTACTCCTAAATTCAGTGGACAAAGAGATGAAAGAAAATGATGAACTCAGGGATTCTGTCTCCTGGCTTCAGAAGCAGATACTGAGCCTCAAATCTGCTAAGATTGCCCTGAGTGAGAGTCTTATCTCCTGTAGAGAAAGAGTTGAAATTGTGGAAGAACAGACACAAGCTCTTATCACGCAAGTGGCTGACCTGCAATGAAAGGTGCACGCACAGTTTCGCCAGATGTCTACTGTTAATATGAGGGCATTGATTGGAACAGGATGAGACCCTGTAACTTGGAATAAAAATGTGTGGAGGAGGACCCTGATGAAGCTAAGGACATTGAGTTTGTAAACTCTGAGGAAGCTTTTTTTTGCCAGAACGAACAGCTTCCCCATCCCCAGTAACGACAACCTTCCCTCCCGGACCCATACTGCCATCAGCCTTTCCACATTTGTCTGAGGAGATAAACCCTGTGCTGCCTGAGGCAGCAGTGATGGCCTCCCCTGAGGCAGTTGCCAGGCAAAATAATATTCTTCTCAGGAATCACACCCAACACCCCTGTTTACTTCTGGACCTATAACTAGACTAAAGTCCTGGAGGGCCCCTGGAGTTGAGGTTGAGAGTGTGACCTACAGGGAGGTGCACTACACACAAAAAGAACTGTTTGGGTTCTCTAATTTATGTAAATAGAAATCTTGAGAACAGGCATGGGAATGGATATTAAGGGTATGGGATAATGGTGGAAGGAACATAGAGTTGGATCAGGCTGAATTTATTGATTTGGGCCCACTAAGTAGGGATTCTGCATTTAATGTTGCAGCCTGGGGAATTAAAAAGGGTTCTAATAGTTTACATGCTTGGTTAGCTGAAATATGGATTAAAAGATGGGCCACTGTGAGCAAGCTGGAAATGCCTGATCTCCCTTGGTTTAATGTAGTGGAGGGGATCCAAAGGCTTAGGGAGATTGGCATGGTGGAGTGGATTAGTCACTTTAGACCTACTCATCCCAGCTGGAAGGGTCCAGAAGAAATCCCCCTGACCAATGCCTTGAGAAATAGATTTGTGAGGGCAGCACCTGCATTTTTGAAGAGCCCTGTAATAGTTCTTCTCTGTATGTCAGATCTAACAGTGGGAACTCCAGTCACTCTACTACAAAATTTAAATACTATGGGAGCAATTGGATCCGAGGTGGCAGCAGCCAAGTGGTGGCACTCAACCATCAAAGGCAAGGTGGGCATAGCTACCATATTTGACAACAGAGGCAAAGCAGCAATCAGAATAGTGTGACTTGTGTAGAGCACTGGCATTGACTAATTAATCATGGTGGTCCC